ACATTCATTTGTCTGTAAAAATGTTTCATGAATATTAGAATTCAGAAACGATTTTAGATACATTTAAAATACATACATGCAATTTATATGTGTATTAAAACATCTTATTTTTGGCACTCTTATGTTATTTGCAATATTACATTACTTGTTACATCGGTTGATTTTTCTTTCATATCTTTCACGGAACAATCGTTACGAAAAGTTGAGGGGAACTCTGTCCGAGGGTTCAGTCATATAAAGCATATTTTTCGTGACGTCTTTTATTTTCTCATTTAGAGCCGATGGGAAGCAAAGCGCCCGCATTTATAGGAGACGTAAAAACATTCTCCTTTGTTCGTAACCGCGGATTGGAAGTGAACATGCTATGTAACGCGCAGGGGCATCCTATTCCTATAACTAGGTACCTAATAATTGCATTGTCATTAACCATTCATTCAAGTTACATGATACATGCTTTCATAATTCAATGTCTCCGTAAAACTGTTAGCACTCGTAATATAATAGATGGGAATTTAACGATTCTTGGTGTGGTTATTCAGATTTCTTAGCTTTTGAAATATGTTGGATCAATTATGCGATGATTGCTTCATGCCTCTCGATGTAATTAGAACCAGTCGCCACGAAGAAACCGAAGTTCTCGAGCGAATCAAAGCTGGCTTGGTACGATCGCGTTAGAGGAGACAATCTGACTTTGTTGTGTTCTGCGCAGGGGTTCCCAGTTCCCACGTATAGGTACATGTGCAAATATTCTGAAGCTACAAATAGAGCGACAATTGTCGCAGCATGCGAGAGGAACCTTATTTCATTCTCTATCGTACAATTAGAACCAGTCGCCACAAAGAAGCCGAAATTTTCGAGCGATGCAAAGTTTGCTGGATACGAACGTGTTCGAGGAGACGATCTAACTCTGCTGTGTCCCGCGCAGGGGTTCCCAGTTCCCGCGTATAGGTACATGCACGTGAGCTTTTTAAAGCTGTAAATAGAGCTATAGAGAATTATTACAGCATGCAAGAGAATTTCATTTTCCGGTATTTAATTAGAACCGGTCGCCACGAAGAAGCCGAAATTCTCAAGCGACGCAAAGAAGGCCTGGTACGATCGCGTTCGTGGAAACGATTTGACCCTGTTTTGTCCCGCGCAGGGGTTCCCAGTTCCAATGTATAGGTACATGCACGCAAGTATCTAAATCGTAGATAGAGCAATTGGTCATTCGCGCAACATGCGAGAAGAGATTTATTTCCCTACCTGTCATGTAATTAGAACCGGTTGCTACGAAGAAGCCGAAGTTCTCGAACGATGCAAAGCTAGCTTGGTACCATCGTGTTCGAGGAGACGATCTAACCCTGTTTTGTCCCGCGCAGGGGTTCCCAGTGCCAACGTATAGGTACATGCACTCAAGTACTAAAGTAGATTGAGAAATAAGTGATTCTCATAGCATGATCGTGTCTGTCTATAAATTGTCAGAGCCAGTGGGAAGCAAAGCGCCGACGTTGACGGGCACTTTGAAAGGAGGTTGGATGAATAGCAAAGCTGCTTCCAACGTTGTACAATTTTGCCCTGCTCAGGGCTATCCAGTACCTTCGTTTAGGTAAATTCGCATTTGTGTTTCTTTTAATTTTTTAAAAACCGATTTTTTTATTTTAATTTCTAGTTGATAAAATTTCATTTTGTTTTCCATAAAATACGTTGTCTAAATGCGTTTGCGTTTGTATCAGTCTTTCAATTGTTGTCCTATCGTTCTAAAAATAATATGAGTCACATGGCTTAGAGTTTCATTGATTTATATTATTTTATTAGTCGCAGAAGGGTTCCCTGTCCCTTTAGAGATAAAAGACAATTCTGTTATTGTTTATCGCATGTTTCTTTATATATTAGAACCTGTGGGCAGCAAGGCGCCTGCATTTACGGGTGATGTGAAAGGTGTGTGGATGGAAAAAAGCAGAGCATCCAGTGTCGTATTACCGTGTCCAGCACAGGCATATCCCGTGCCTTCCTTTAGGTATAGCTTATACATGTATATACTTTACAAAAAGAACAACAAATTTTTTTTGTTTTAAAACTGAAGATCAATTATATGAATCAAGAACAAGTTATTGCTTCTCATTTCACATTTTATCTCTTTGCGCCCGCGCCGTTTTCTGCTCCGATTTTCCGCTCCGTTTCTTGTTAACGAAGGGGCCTCCTGTTCCATCAGAAAGGTTACATAAAAACACGACAAGCGTCGAGTAAAAATATCAACTTGCTGAGCAATCGTTGCATAAATGATTAGAGCCAGTCGGAAGCAAAGCGCCAACGATAACCGGCATCGTGAAGGGCGTGTTACTAGAGATCGGAGCGCGATCCGCTGTCGCATTATTTTGCCCGGCGCAAGGCTATCCTGTACCCTCTTTCAGGTAATGGCATAGAGCGTAATTAGATATGTTTAAATTTTAATTTAATCTCTACAAGATTTACCTACGTCAACTTAAATTAAAAATTGTTTACTTTTCATTTTATTATATTTGGATTTATTCAATTCATTGGATTTATTCAATTTATTGTTTATGACAATAAATGCAAGCATTAATCTTCTTTAACCTCCAATTAAATCCAGATAAAATACTAACTGACAAGCTCGAATTAATTAACATGGAAATAAGCATGTATGATTAATTTTATAAAGTCCGAGTTGGTTTATCATGCACGTTTGTAATCGTCAGAGCCGATTGGAACTAAAGCCCCGGCTCTCAGCGAGTTAAGAGCTGGATGGTTGAAGAAAAGAACGCACTCCAATGCTGTGTTGTCGTGCCCGGCGCAGGGATATCCTGTTCCCTCCTTTAGGTAATGACATAGCACAGGAAAAATATAATTATATCCGATACGTCTTGTAAAACTTATATCTCAATTTAAAATAAATCGATTACTTATTGCTTTTTACTACCCCCGAATTTTTTTTAATTTACTTTGATTTATTGTTCTTGACGATAGACCCAAGCATCGATTTGTTACTTCAATCTGGATAAAAGATTAATCTTGAGCCTGAGTAATATGTATGGAAAGAACGATTTTGCGCTGAATTATCTAAAAATTTAGCTAAATACAGATCTGAAAATAATTTTATTGGACTATCAAAATAATTATGTAGGACATTCAAGTCGGTTGTTAGAATGTCAAAATTTTTTGCAACATTGTTTAAGTTTTTTAAATAATTATTTTGATGGTGTAACAAAATTATTTTCAGATCTATATCTAATTAAATTTTTAGATACTTTAGCAAAATCGTTTTTTCCGTGTACAATTAATTTTATAAGGTCCAAATTGGTTGATTGCATGAACTTTGTAATCGTCAGAGCCGATCGGAACTAAAGCCCCGGCTCTCACGAACGAGATAAGAGGGGGATGGCTGAAGAAGAGAGCGAGTTCAAGCGCAGTATTACCATGTCCGGCGCAGGGATATCCTGTACCCTCTTTTAGGTAAAGTTACCGCAGTTAATGAAGACTGTTGCGTGCCACTTTTTCTGATTTCTCGACTGGCTTTTGTTCGCTAGAACCGGTCGGCAGCAAAGCGCCGGCGTTGACAGGCGATTTGAAAGGTGGATGGAAGGAAAGAAGGGCGGGCTACACAGTCATATTGTTCTGCCCAGCTCAGGGCCACCCTGTGCCCAGTTTTAGGTAAACTTCTTTAACGCAGGAAAATACATGTAATTTTGAAAAAAGCGGAAAATTTTTTCTTGAAAAAGAAACTTTCATAATATTTTTTTTTTCAATGAATGAGTCATTTTCTTTACCTCCGGTTTTGTTTGAAACATTTTCGTTTTTTGAATCGTTAGAACCGATTGGAAGTAAAGCACCGGCGCTGGTTGGCGAAATGAAACGCGGGTGGAAAGAGACAATTGCGAGATCCAGCGTGGTACTGACGTGCCCTGGTCAGGGTCACCCTGTGCCCAGTTTTAGGTAACGACATTGTCGCGCGATTCCTTTTTTAAGAGATTAAGGCTCGATTGCACCAACGTTACTTTGACTTTAAATTAGTAGCTTAAAACTTTCTTTCTCTGTCTTTTTAAAACCGAAAGAGAGACAGACACACACACACACACAGAGAGAAAGAGAGAGAGAAAGTTCTAATAATAAGTCTTGTTTAAAATTATAGTAACGTTGGTATAATTGAGCCTAAAATGTATTATACATACGTCGATAGAACCGGTCGGCACTAAGACACCTTCGATTTTGGGAGAGAAGGGCAGTTTGATGGAAAGGCGCACTGATACACACATCGTGATTCTTTGTCAAGGGCAAGCTTATCCTGTGCCAGCGTTCAGGTAAATCATATATGGGCGAATTATATCGATTGGAGTGATTCTTTTCTTAATCGTGTTAGTAACGATCTATTCGGTTGAAAATAAATGTTAGGATAATTTCTTTATTTCTCTACACTGAGAAAAATGTTTTGGTACGTATATGTATAACCATTTATTTTGATGATATGTGACTAATAGAAACTTTCTTATTTTTTCATTTACAAATTGTGTTGTTCTAATCAAAATTTGATTAGAATAACATAATTTTTAAATGAAAAAGTAAAAAAAATTTTTGTTAGTCACATATCAACAAAATAAATGATTATATATACCAAACATTTCTCTCAGTGTAATATATTTATACAACAAAGGTCTGTAATTTATTTGTGTAAAGAACCGGTAGGTAGTAAGGCGCCTTCCGTTACGGGTGACGCGAAACGATGGCTACGAACTAAATTGATGATCGGATTTGCGATGCAGTGTCAAGCGCAGGGTCACCCAGTACCAGCGTTCAGGTACTTACAGCGTGATTGTGCCCTTTATTGGTTTGTACATAATTAATGAGAGTTCGTGATATAGTCAGAACGGTTATGGAATAGTAATCGTGTGGTTCGTTTTATTTTTTTTGAATAAACATTTTATTTTCACATCTCAGAAACGTAAGTTTTTACGGTATAACTTTTTTAATTCGGAAATCGACCTATGCGATTCTTATATTATCAGAGCCAATGGGAGCGAAGGGACCGAAATTCTCGAGTGACGATCGCGTCAACTCATTTATACGCGCTGCGGGAAGTGCATCGAGCTTACACTGTCCTGCGCAGGGGTTCCCCGTACCGTCGTTCAGGTAATTAAGAGAATGAAAAATTATCGGAGGATATTCAAATGATTTTCTCGCTTCGCTCCAGAGCCCGTGGGATCGAAGGCGCCCGCCTTTCAGAGCGACGCGAAAAGCAGTACTTATGTAAGAAATGCGAAATCGTCACTCGCGCTAACTTGTGCCGCTCAAGCATCGCCACCTCCGACTCACAGGTAATGATGTTACGAACTGGACATAGATCGCGTAATTTGGAGTCTGATAAAAATGGTTGCTGCTAAAGTATTGTATGATTTGTTGTTTTTGAACTAGGGTTAATAATTGACATTTCTCTTATATCTTATTAATGCAAATTTGTAAATTTGTAAATCTTTTTATCATTAAAAGTAATACAATAATTACAAAACAATTTTTTAAATTACTTTTATACTCTATTATTTATTTACTTTTTCATTTGTATTTTTAATATCTTCCCCTTCTTTTTTTGGAGAAGTATTTTAAATTTAATTTTAGTAAATTATTTAATAAGAAATTATGGCGGTGGCGCGTTTTGTCCTGACCTTTTTATTAGATGTCATTTTAAGAAAAATAACAAATTTCGTTTATACGCTAGAGCCAGCAGGTCGTGTATCTCCAAAATTTCCGAAATCTGCAAAAAGTGATTCATTCGAGGTGGCGAATGGTGCCGTGATAAGTTTATTGTGCGATGCACAAGCATTTCCTGCTCCCGGGTTTAGGTCAGTTATTAATATATTTAGTTATGTATTCTATGCAGTTCTTATTCTTAATTTATGTATATATAATCTTAGTAGGCTATTTAAAATATACAACATTGTACGGCGGTGGCTCGTTTTGTCCAGACATAGATATATCATTTTAAGAAAAATAATAAATATTGTTTCCACGCTAGAGCCAGCAGGTCGTGTATCTCCAAAATTCCCGAAATCAGCAAAAATTGATTCATTCGAGATGGCGAACGGTGCCATAATAAGTTTGTTGTGCGATGCACAGGCATTTCCTGCTCCCGCGTTTAGGTCAGTCCATCAATATATTTAATTAGTTTTGTATATATATATATATCTGTATTATGTGGTACCTTCTTATTATTATTTAAAAAAGAAAGTACAAACAATGCATGGCGGTGGCGCGTTTTGTAGACGCTAACGTTTTATTTTAAGAAAAATAATAAACTTTATTTACGCGTTAGAGCCGGCAGGTCGAGTGTCTCCAAAATTTCCGAAAATGGCAAAGATCAATTCCTTTGAAGTGGCGAGTGAAGCCGAAATCAGTTTATTGTGCGATGCACAGGCATTCCCTGCTCCCGCATTTAGGTCAGTCTATATGTATATATATAAATATATTTTATCGGCATTTTTTAAATATATTTGACGTAACATTTACTCAGTTTAATTTTAACAAATTGATAAATAAATATTATATTACGGTGGCGCGTTCTGTCGTAACGAAAAGGTTATAAAAAATAACAAAATTTACGTGTATTAGAGCCAGCAGGTCATGTGGCCCCAAAATTCCCGAAAACAGCAAAATCCAATTCTTTCGAAGTGACGAATGATGCCGAAATTAGTTTGTTGTGTGATGCACAGGCATTCCCTGCTCCCGCATTTAGGTCAGTCTATCGACATATCTAATTAAATATATTTTCATAAAGCTTTTCTTGCTTATTCGATACAGTACGTAAACGTATCGTAACGTTATCGTTCTGTAGAACCTGTAAACGGTGCTAAGCCTCGAGTCGCTTCTACATCTAAATATGATGTTCTCGCGAGTGTCATCGGAGCGGCTGTAACAATGTTGTGCCCCGCGCAGGGACACCCTCTTCCAGCTTATAGGTATTTACAATTATTTATTGTAATCTGTAGCAAAGACTTTCCTCCGTTTCATCAATTTTATTCGCGCTTAAAGATATGTCTTCGACATAGCTCTTTTCTTGGCGAAGGATAGCTTTGCTCACTTAAGTCTTAAGCGATACGTATCAGTCAACGTACTTGACTCGTTTTATCGCTTTATTGTTTACGTATCTAGAGCCAGTAACTGGCGCAGCACCAAGGGTGCCACCAACAGCTAAAATAACTGTCCTCTCAATCGCGTCGCGAACTGCCATGGTAATGCTGTGTCAGGCTCAAGCGAATCCACTTCCTGTCTTCAGGTAACGCCGACATAAATGCAAATATTGATAAGAATTTCCTCGGGATGGGAATTAAATAAAGATATAGTGAAGATACAATTCTAAATGAAATTTATGTACACACATACAGTGCTCATGTAAAAGAAGCATTTGATTCCTCAAGATTTCTCAAGAAAAGATTTTTAAGAGAAAACTACTAAAAAAGGATTAATTTTTAACATTGATTAAACATTGATCTTAAACATTAATTGACTTTTTAAAAGTCAGGAAACAGTGACATTTGTTTTTACTAAAATAAGAAACGCATCCTGCCGATCATGTACTAATATTAGATTGAAGCATATATGTGAAGATATCGATTGATTTCGTGGTAGGTGAACCTTTCGCCCTTTTCGTTTTTAGAACCGGTTGGAAGTAGTCCGCCTCGATTGCCACCTAGATCTAAATTTGACGAAATGATGAAAAACGAGGGTTATGCAGTGACGTTGCTTTGCGAGGCTCAAGCCAGCCCGTCACCTTTATTCAGGTGAGCCTGTTCGAACAATTTAACAAAAATTGTCACTGAATTATCATAATTTGTACAAAATCCATATAAAATTATTTAAATTCTTTTAAATTTATATTGATAATTGTACGAAATTTTAGTAAAATTGATTAAAGGAATTTTTAAAAAACATGATGTAATGTAGTTCTTGAGAATGTAAAATGCAGTTATCAATCGTTATCTTCATATTTTACCGTCTGCAAACCCGCATTCTGCGTGCCGTGCGTCAACAATACATTTGATACTGACGACGACGACGACGACGACAATGATGATGATGATGATTATTATAATGGCGTCGCGTTTCCCAGTTTCCCCAATGTTTGCGCTATTGCAGAACCGCGAGGCAGTGTACGTCCGAACGTACGAGACAAGGATGTGAACGGATTAAAAAGGGACATCCTAATCGGACAGACGGTTGGCCTACCTTGTCCTGTTCAGGGTTTCCCAGCACCTGCATTCAGGTACAAGCATTTACAAGTCGATTGACAAATTGCGATGCGAATAAGAACCACATATCAGACAATTTCGAAACAACGTTTGTATATCTCATTTTTAATTGCGATACAATTGTGGGAAGGTCCAGTTGAAGAAATGAGATATGCCTACTACGCTAGTTCGTGTTCTTGCACCCCGATTCCCTACTTACAGAACCAACCGGCAATGTTGCGCCACGCATTGCCGGTGAACGTTACGAAGGTGGCAAGTTGATAGATGTACCAAAGGCGGGTATGGCGGCCTTGGAATGCGCTACTCAGGGTTTTCCTGTCCCATTGACAAGGTATTTTGCTATTGGCAAAAATCGCTGCAATATCTTCCTTTCTGTTTTCTTTACGATGCTATTTCAGAGGGCACAAATAAAATCGCGCCACGGTCATCAGGCAAAAAGTTCAGATTCGAAGTTATTCTGGCTGTTGAAGGTCAGGATATTGCGTTGAGCCATTCGCTTCAGGGATACCCTGTGCCTCTCACAAGGTAGACTTTGGAAGTCCTCTTCCACACGCGTGAATCTGTATCTGTTTTTTCTCTGTTCTTCGTCGTCGTCGTCGATAAAGCGAATCACGTTCTATAGATTACTGAAATAAAATGTACTCATGTGAGAATGCTCTCGATGAGCTATAGACAATTATAGATAGGCATAGTGCACTATTTCGTGAGTTAAGGAGTTAACAATTTTGTGAATTCGGAGTATCCGTTAAACACAAAATGACATTACATCAATATTACAATTTTCCATTTAATAATATAAATGAAATATAGCACATGTACATAACAGTTACATTATTGAGTAGAAAATTATAACATTGTTATTTTTATACTTTATTGTGTTTAGCGGATAGATATTCAAGCTAATAGCGAGTTTACATCAAACTTTTACCGTGTGACGTTTGAGTTTATATATAATATATGTGTGTGTGTATGTGTGAAAAAGTGAATCGAAAATATCAATTGCAAATTCGATACAACGTCATTTATATCAGTAAAAAAATTTTTGAAATATGTTTTAAGTAATAAATAAATAAATTTATAAATAAAATCAATATTAATTAAATTATCCAAACAAATAATATTAAAAACATCAATCGACAGATATTTCCAAACTTCTTTTCTATTACAAACAATATTAGAAAAAATTTATTTCTCATCAATTAAACCGGACTCAATTTAAGAATACCGCAGATGTTAATAGAGATCTCACGAATCTTTGCAATACTCGTTCGATATCGTGCTATTTAGCGGTGTCCTTCAAAGCGTTCCCGCGGCCGACTGTTTAGTTGCACCGCACCTGACAGCGTGAACTTCATGCCCTGTTGGATATTTTCATCGTTTAAAAACTATTGATATTACATTCTATGACATGAACTATTGACATTTTCGATTTATTTTTTCATGAGGAACATTTACATATCGGCTCTTGCGGGTGGTCTGGATCACCCTGTATATAGTAATAGAATAAATGTAATCAATATAAACTTTAAAACATTTTCTGTCATTATGTTATATTAATTAGATGTGAGCGTTTTCTGTCATTATATTATATTGATTAGATGTGAGCGTCATGCAGTAAATAATCAGATGTAAACTTACTACAACATTGTATTCAATATCGTTCATCATCTGGCAAGATTGGCATCATAGTCAGGTGAGTAGTTTGCATGTTAAAATTCTGTCGACTTAAGCCAGGACGAACGCAAAGGTGATAGGGTATGTATAAAACTGTTAGTCGCTTAAAATTCAAACGTCGCGTACCGGTTCCGCAGTTCAATTAAAAAATAGAATGGATCTGAAAAAACGTTATCAAGGGACGAAGCTCTCACACACTTTGGGCAATCTATTTATTTCAGAGCCGTCTGGTCGTACTGCCCCGAAGACGACTGGTGACGGCCTTAATAAGTACCGCGGGGTAGAGGGCGAGTCTCTGGCGCTGGCGTGTGCGGCACAAGGCTTTCCTGCCCCGATTACTAGGTACACACCTCCGTACAGATCTTTTTTCTCCCTGATTTGGATGTAGTCTCACGCTCCGCGGGGCACAGGTCCTGTATTCACTATTAATATTTTCCATCCTTACCCTCTACCCCGTGTCGGGTGGCGGTACCGTAAGATTTGACAGGGGCAAGAAGAAAGGACATGATTTTTTAATACAGAGATAGGATAATATTGTGAAATCCAGAGAAGAAATATAAAAGTATTTTTAAGACTCGGTGCAGAATATGAGAGAAAGAGTGCAGAGACGTAGAGAAGGAGGAGAGGGGAAGAGAACGAGAGAGAGCGTAGATTAGAGCAGAGCTTGGAAAGGTGCTGAAAATAACTGATGCTCTCGATTTTCATGCGACGGTTTAATGATTTCGATAGCCTTTTAATTCCGAATGTAAACTAAACGCGATATTACACGAGTCACAAACAATAGTGCTAATGACGAAATGTATATCCCTGATCCGGGGCCAATTGGACGTGTTGGTTTTCAGTGCCAACTGGATCCTCCCCTCAACCCTCGAGATAGGTGACGGAAGCGCGACCTCGAAAAGGATGCGGGCCCTCTGCTCCCCCGGTATCCTCGGTGCTGATCCGGGTGGTCCGAGAGGATATCACCCGATCAATGGGGCGGTCAATGTTGCCCTACACCTGCACACCTCCAAATAAGTCCCACAATATTTGGCTGGTAAGTCCTTGCCACCTTCTCGTGCCTCCGTTCATCCGCTCGTATTAATTCATTCCCCACATTCTCTCTCTCTCTCTCACTCGTTCAAAAGAAAAGGTAAAGAAGTGGATCGCTCGTTCATGTACACATTGGGCGTGTGTGAGTGACTGAGGAGAATCGAGCCTTAACATTTTTTTCACATCGTCCAATTGCACCATCGCCATTAAACGTACCGCCAATTCACCACTACCATTTTTGTTCCCTGCCCGATCGCCTTCCACTGTCCGCCACCATTTGTAATTGTACATTCGACAATATCTCGCAAATGCTATTTGAGGTTCTGGAATTGATTAATCAATGCTAGAGAACGAATTTTAAAATGATTTTGTATCGTGACATGTATTGTTATGTGTGAGAGATATTGTTGCTTACATAGAAAAGTATGAAAGAGTCCTTGCACTAGCACAAACCGCCTACAACAAACCATGTCAAAAAACCGCTATTGCGATCGCTTGGTTACATCATTTTATTCTGGATTATTGGCGTTTCTTTTTTATACCTTCCTTGCCTAAGCTAATCAGCGACGAGCGCCGTTATGAATATCACGAAGAATCGAATATAATCGTTCGTTGCTTTCACACTGCACACAATCGCCCCTCACCTTCTTCCTCAGGGATTTTATCGCGGCAAGAATCGACATGTGAATACTTTTTTACGTATTCTCTTTTGCTTTTATTAATCTATTGTCGTCGTCATTGTCTTTATTCTTGTGTTGCGCCCCGCCTGCATTGCTTCTCGATCGTGAGGCTACAGTAGAAACGTCTTGTTTTATTCTTGAATTGTGATTTTGTTCTTGTACAAAATTATTTCGCGAAGGAGATGTGGCACCGATAGATCGGTGGAGAAACGGAAGGCCGTGCCCAGAGACGCCCAAAGCCCTGCAAATAGAATTTAAGGCATAATAGCGTAGAATGGAGCAAATAGTGTTATTCGCGGTATCGGATTTATAAAAAATTCACAGTCTTGTACGTGTCTCATTCTCCCGTTAGAGTTTTGTGTAAGCTGTATGTTATAATAAAAATATTGTAATATTATATATTGTAATAAAAACAATAAGAAAATGAAATAACAAATAACAAATAATAAGAAAAAAAACAAATTTTTCTATAAAGAATTCTTCTATAAAGAACATAAAAAATAAAATTTACTTTAATATTCTTGTTCCATTTTGCGATATAAATTTTAATTTATATAAGCGAATGCAATAAAGATACGGAACGAGCAATTCTCGTTCCGGCATTGACGCGAAAATCGGTAGTTTTTATTTTCTTGTTCCAGATGGTATAAGTTCATCGAGGGCACATCAAGGCGTCAGCCGGTTCAACTAAATGAACGCGTACGTCAGGTCAGCGGCACTCTGATCATCCGTGAAGCCCGAGTCGAAGATTCCGGTAAATATCTTTGCATCGTCAACAATTCCGTCGGCGGCGAGAGTGTGGAGACCGTTTTGACTGTTACGGCACCGCTGATCGCGGAAATAGAGCCTAGCACGCAGACCATCGACTTTGGAAGACCAGCGACCTTCACTTGTACCGTCCAAGGCAATCCGATTAAGACCATCTCTTGGCTCAAAGATGGAAAGCCCCTTGGATTAGAAGATCGCGTGCTTAGAATCGAGAGTGTGAAAAAGGAGGACAAGGGAATGTATCAATGCTTCGTTAGAAATGATCAGGAAAGTGCGCAAGCAACGGCAGAGTTAAAACTTGGTGGCAGATGTAAGTTAAAATTTTATCATATTTTCCTCCAATGGTGTAATTAAATTAGTAATAAACATTTTTACTGATATATTACAGTAATGGTAATGTTGTATATAAACTGGTTTACTGTATCTGTGTACGGGGGAAAAGAATCTAGTTGCATTAATTGAATCTAGTTAAAAATGGACAAATTAGACCTTTCTGATTGAATCTATTATAATTCTAGTTGAGTTACAAGAATTCTGATTGATTTAATCAGAATCTTCTGGTTCGTTAATTTTCAACCAGAAATTTTTCTTAGTGTGGTTAATTCAACTAAAAATTTTGATAATAATTTTGTAAGATTTCATGAAATGAAATTTTTCATTTCAAAAAATTTTCATGAATTAATAAAATTTTTAAAAAATGTAATTACTGTAATTTTGTTGAAGTGATATTCGTAAATGGATATGAAATCGTTAATTAAAAAAACTGATGCCGCGAAAACAAAAGATAACGTTGTGATAGTAAACAGAATTATCTTTTCATCTCTTTGATTATCGACAGTCGAGCCCCCGCAGATCCGTCAAGCCTTCGCCGAAGAGACTCTTCAACCCGGACCGAGTATGTTTTTGAAGTGCGTTGCCAGTGGAAATCCTACCCCCGAAATTACCTGGGAACTTGATGGAAAACGGTTGTCGAACACCGAGAGACTGCAAGTGGGACAATACGTCACGGTCAATGGTGATGTCGTGTCGCATCTGAATATTTCGAGCATTCATACCAATGATGGTGGTCTCTACAAGTGCATCGCTGCGTCAAAGGTTAGTTCTCTTGTTTTTTATTAAATTTTTCAATATAAAAATATGTAGACTTATTTTATTTAAATTTTGTTTATCATTCATTAATAAATAAATATATGTATAATATAATATAGTCATAGGTATATAAAAAAAACACCCTTAATAATGTATTGGAAAACGATAAATAAATAAAAGCCAAAAGAAAACTAATAAGATATTAAAATTGTTATAAAAATAAATATTACTTTTAATGAATCTATTTTTAACTTACTTTTCGTTAGATGTAAAACATTGTCAGAGTGTTTTATGGTCAAGGCTGCATATTTATCTTATAATATGTATATACAGGGGATGTCCGGTAAAGTCCGCAACAACGCTTGATTCCTGAGATCATTTTGAGATGAAAATTTTAATATTAAAATGTCGAGGCTATAATAGTTTTTGAATTATAAGCATTTAAAGTTAGCGAATCATACCGCATAAAGTTCGCGCGCTTAAGTTGGATTTTCTGTTGTATCACATCTGAACACGCGAACTTTAGATGGTATATGATTCGATAACTTTATAAGTGTTTATAATTTAAAAATTATGATAACCCCTTTGACATTGGTATTAGAATTTTTGTCTTAAAATGATCTCATGAATCTATTTTTAAGCGTTATTATAATCTTTACCGGACATGCGCTGTCTTATTTTTTATTTAAATCCCCCGTGGATGTTCTAAACGTGCCATGTTTAATTCTATCAGGTTGGAGCTGCCGAGCATTCTGCCCGTCTCAACGTTTATGGTTTACCGTTTATTCGTCACATGGACAAGAAGGCTATCGTTGCTGGAGAAACTTTGCGTGTCACTTGCCCTGTTGCTGGATACCCGATCGAAAGTATCGTTTGGGAACGAGATACCAGGGTCCTGCCAATCAACAGAAAGCAAAAGGTCTTCCCTAATGGCACACTCATCATCGAGAATGTTGAACGAATGAGCGACCAGGCAACTTATACTTGCGTGGCACGTAATGCACAAGGTTACAGCGCACGTGGAACACTGGAAGTTCAAGTCATGGGTAAGTTTGACATTTTGTTTTCCTAGCATTTTTTTTCGCATATAATATTTCAATTTAATATAAATATTAATTTTTTGTTCATATAAAATAGTACCTTAAAAGTAAAAGAATTATTGACATTTAATACGTTCCATGTCGAATCAAATTTTTCGTAATTTATCTACCATGTCATCGATGACCCATGCGATATACATAGTTATTATATAGTGTCGCTGCACTTGTTTTTGCGCCGAGACACTACCGTGTCTCCAGATTTGAGAAATAAAATTAACGATTTCTATATTATTTTTTTTTATATACCCTTGAACAGCACACTGGGTTACGGTAACCCAGTCCGTTTGAAAAAACAACGATTTTTGAAAATTTCTTTCTTCTTTTTTTTCAAAATATCTTGGTTACCAGAAATTTTATGATATTCTTATCTATATATTCGTTTTTCTTACTGTCTGTTGTACTGTCGATTAAAAAAAAAAGTTAAAATTGATGCATTAGATCCCGGGATAAAAGCAAAAGAGGACTCAAAGGTTACCGTAACCCATGTGTGGTGAAATCAGGTGGCGAAAATAGTGTGGTGTTCAAGGGTTAACATAAATTCTATATATTTTTCATGAATATTCTGTACCATTTTGATTACGAAACCTGTTTTTTACTTGATACTTTTTTCCAAAGTAAAAAAATCTGTTTTTTCATCTCTATTTTCCAAAATATTTTTCAACTTAAACGGAAAGTCTACGTGCGTCACCGGTGATCCACGCGACATGGAACTTATTAAGAGAATTGAGTTTTAATGAAAAATTTATTTAATATTAAGGTGGAAAATTTAAATGTAACAGAATATTCATAAATCAAATAGAAGTTTACTCTATCATTAATATTATAATCTTAAATACATTTAGCACAAATAATATACGAAATAATACGCACAGAACATAAAAAATTAATGTTCTGTTTAGCAATTAATTGTTTATCGATTAAAATAATCTTGTCTTCTAAATAATTTCGAAAACGAAAGATATATTTATATTTTCAGTCATCGGTCAACAAACCGACCGATCAACGAGATAGATGTGTTAACTATGATAATATTAGAATAGCAAACGTTTATTTGCAGCTATTTTCTTTACAGCAGATTTTTGTGTCTTACGTAATCATCAATAAACTTTATTACATCGCACCGTTTCGTATTGATTGTGATACCGAGTCGGAGGTTTAGGGAACGTGTCGTAGATTTTAAAGGGTGCGATTGTAGGACACGGGCACGGATTCGGAAACTGCATTTAGTGGACGTTGCCGACCACTTAATAACGTAGAGCAAACGTACATCGATCTATAGAGAGGACACACATTCGTGGAAAGTCTGGGAGTTGGTATGGCGGTGGCCGATTGAATCGTTAGTAAGAAAATGTTGCGCTTGTTTTCAATTCAGATCTCTCTTCTCCCATTGCGCGATAGTCTCGCGTAGCAACAAATGCCACACATTCGTGCGTGTTATAGGCATTGTTTCATGCTGACAATGAGATAAGATACCAAGTTTTCCCGCAGCACATATTGAATTCACATACCTGAGACAGAATCAAACTTCAGCGTTCTAGTAATTGAGAAAGAACATCTTGAATGTCGCACAATCGGAATATTTCCTACAACTCGAGAGTGAATGTAACATGTCTATGATATCCACGAGCGTGGCACATTGACGCGGGACGTGTATAATCGTACATCCATACATCGCTCCTCCATCTTCAGTGCCGCCGATCGTTCAGGAGTTTGCGTTCACGAAGCTACCGATGAATGCCGGGGAATTTGCGAATCTGCAGTGTATCGTGTCAAGCGGCGACCTGCCATTGAACATACGTTGGAGCTATCCCGGAGAAGAAATGGGCGGCTCCTCCGGCGTACTCGCGAAGAAGGTCGCGGATCGCGTTAGCATGCTCATGATCTCGGTCATCACCGCGAGACATGCGGGGGAGTACGTTTGTACCGCCGAAAATGCGGCTGGAACAGCGTCCCACTCGACCGTCCTCACCGTCAATGGTTTGGGATTATCTGTTCCTAGAGAACACAGCCTTTATCATTCTTCAGTTGCGTTTTATCACCTTCTATCTTGTCCCTTGCACAGACCTTGCAAACAGCACCATAGTTATTCCCTCGTTTGTCACGCCTCCTTCGCGTCAATGTTGTTGAATCCTCTGCCTACTTGAATCCTCTGAAAGCTTTAGTGAGACGGGTAGTTGACTAACGCACAGATATTTGTTAGAATCACCGAGAATCATTCGCAGACGCCGTTGCATCCTTTTCGGTAATGAAGCATGATTTGTTTGACGACACCTTTAGTCGGACCGCAGCTTCTACCAATCGCTTTCAATGCCGAGATCGCTAATTGGGGAGACTCCGTGTCCGTGCCCTGCTCGATCCTGAAGGGTGACATGCCCATGGACATATCATGGTCGTTCGATGGCGTACCGATCGACACGTCAAAAGACACGGGTATCACGATCACCAGAATCAGCAAGCACTTGAGCACCCTCAGCATCGACGGCGTCTCGGCGCGCCACGCCGGAGAGTACGCCTGCTCCGCGTCAAATTTAGCTGGTTCCGTCAGTCGATCAACAACTTTGACCGTCAACGGTACGACCTTAATTCCCTCGGCACGGTTTCCGTTACAATAGACTCACAGTACATATAATAACTATCACGAACCTCAAGTTCTCCCGTCCATCGAACCCTCACCCACTATCCTAAAAGATCTTTTCCGAAAAATTTCTTGTGATAAAACAAGGTACTCCACCGCCATACCAACTTCATCTAGCAGTCCATATCGCTTAAATGAAACGAACATCATAATCGATACATGTAAAAGTGCCTCCGAATTACGCGATTAGGAAATGCGCCGCATCACAAACCGACACTTGCTCTTTCTTGTCTCGTTTCTCCCAGTCGCTCTTTCCAGTTGCTCCGCAAATACTGCCTTTCGCTTTCGGAGATGAGCCGGCCAGCTGGGGCGAGCTGGTCTCAATCACCTGCTCTGTTACGAAGGGCGATCAGCCTATTGAAATAACTTGGACTTTTAACGGAACGCCGATCGACAGTCGCGACTCTGACGTAGTAGTAGCCAGCACGAATCGAAAGAACAGTGTCTTAACTATCGAATCGGTCGCGGCTCGACACGCTGGCGATTATACCTGTACTGCGTCCAATCGCGTTGGTGCCACGACATATACGGCTCATCTGGCTGTAAACGGTATATGCAATCGATTCTCACAGAAGAAATGAATGCTCTTCCCGTTTGTCATGCATTTTCCTCGTTTTCCTGAAGCATCATTCAAGCGATTGATTATCGTAGCTGATCACTAAACACTTAACATTTATGAATACAAATACACAACTTTTTTACACTATTAATTACTAATTATTATTTCCTGTTATGAATTTATTAATAATCTCATAATTAAAATTTTATTAATTTTTTCCTCTTTTATTATATTGATAAAAAAGTGCAAGAAAAATTTTTGACTCGTTTAACATTCATTCATACATATTTTTTATCCCATCACCTATCACTGTCACATTTTCTGTCTCTTGTTGTACCCTCCTTTGTTTGTCATTATACTCCTTCGTCTGTGCCGCTGTCGTTCACGCAGTCGCGCCACAGATCCTTCAGTTTTCCTTCGGTGATGATCCCCTCAACTCTGGCGAGATGCTGTCGGTTTCTTGCACGATCGTCAAAGGTGACTTCCCTGTAAAATTGATGTGGACCTTCGACGACATCCCAATCAACTCGAGTCGACCGGATGTTAGTATCGTGACCAATAAGAGAGTCAGCTTCTTGAGCATCGACAGCGTGGCGGCGAGACATGCTGGAAGATACAAATGTACTGCGACCAATGCTGCCGGATCCGACAGTCACACCGCTATACTTTCGGTGAACGGTATCGCGCTCGTATATGTAAAAAGAAACGTACTGCCTTACGTATACATATGTCCTATACGTACAGTTTTATTATCCTTTTGTTTCTTCGCGCTCACTGTTATTGTCGAGACGATAATCCTGCGTAATGTACTTCTAGCAGCGAGATTATCGTCGTAGATGACAACGTACGGTCCATCCCGCAGTGACAGCGAAACGATGGTCCTTGTATAATTTTTTCCTTTATTTTATTTTTATTTTATTTGAACCTTTTCCTTTTGTTCTTATTTTATTTGAGAACCTTTTTCTGTATCGCTTTATAATGTATACCATTACAATATTGTTCGATGTTCTCTATTGAAATATTATTCCTTATCCTTCCTCGATCTATCCTCTGAAGATTCAAAGATGCTATTTTATGAGTCATCTAATTTGATTCTGAGTTTGTGATTCGGTAACATTTCTCGTTATCTTGCTGTGAGTGTTCGGGCGCCACTCCGGAAGCTCCTACGTGTGATTCACGAGTGTGCCCTTCGCGATTACAGTTGCACCGCAACTGGCACCTTTCACTTTTGGTGACGAAGCTGCCAATGCGGGAGAGATGGCGACTGTTCAATGTGCCGTGATAAAAGGCGATCTGCCTATCGACATAATCTGGTCATTTAACGGGCGTGAGATCGACATCGCGAATGGCGCATTCGACGAGCACAATTACAATCCCGACATAGTGATAAGCAGGAGTAGCAAACGGGCCAGCCAACTGACGATCGAATCGGTAGCCGCAAGACACGCGGGCGAGTACTCGTGCACTGCGAGCAACACGGCCGGAACTGCTACCCACTCTTCGGTTCTTTCGGTGAACGGTACGCTTGACCAGTGAATCAATGACGGTTGGGTGGTTGGTTGGACGCACGTAATATCGGGCTATGCTTCTCTTAGCGCTTTATGGCACCCAGAAAAAATTGCGTGTATAGTAAATGCGCCGCAGCTTCAAGATGTAATTAATAATCGCGAATCGTAATTGAAAATGTCAATGATATCCTTTGTTGAGTTTTTTACACCACCAAATTTTCTAGAAAATCATTGCATCTCGAGAAAGAATCGTGAAAGACCAAGATTGTTACGATCGATAATTTTTCACGAGTCACTTTTTTATACTGGTTCAATGTTACGTAGTTTTTCTATTACCTTGGCAGTATCGCCGCGCATCGCACCCTTCGAAATGGCCGACAGGGCGGTTAATTGGGGTGACTCTGTATCGGCGGTCTGTACGGTGGTTAACGGGGACTCCCCGTTAGAGATTACGTGGGCATTGAATGGAATGCCTATCGAGGAGAATCATCGAATATCTGTGACCACTACCAAGAGGAACAGCCTGCTGTCTATAGATTCTGCGAGTCCTAGTCACGCGGGCACTTACACTTGCGTTGCCTCCAATGCTGCCGGCGCAATCACTTATTCCGCGGAGTTGACAGTCAACGGTATCTACGACAACCGTTAGAAAAGAATGTTGATCTTGGATTTGTTTTTCCCTCCTACTCTCCTCACCCTTTTCTTCCCGATCGAAACTCGCGTGTGTATTCGGACGTCTAATGGAAAAAGTAACGATATCTATTCTGACAGCTCTATTCATGTCTTCTTCATCTTCAAATCTTTTTCTAGCGTTGTCATTTCAAGTAATTGTCAAGAAAATTGACAATTTATATAGAGAAAAAAAGAGGGGAAAAAACACGTAATACCCGTTGCAGTTGCACCGCAAATTGCACCGTTCGTTATCGTCGAGGAACCAGCCAACTGGGGTGATTCCATTTCCGTGGTATGCGCCATTCTCAAGGGTGATTTACCGATCGAGATCACGTGGGCTTTGAACGGCGAGCCGATTCGGCCAGATCGTTCGGACATTAATATCTTGGCGACAACTCGGAAGAATAGCATCCTCAGCATCGAGTCTGTGGCTGCGAGACACGCAGGAGAATACACATGCTCGGCGTCTAATAAAGCCGGAGCGACCAGTTATTCAGCGACTTTAACTGTGAATGGTACATCTCTGAGAGATTCCCTGTGTATTTGTCCTCTATATCCCATCATTTTCCATTATTTGTTATTATTACTCCTCCCCTTCTCGCTCCCCTCAAAATCATCGTCGATGGTCAATCGTGGTCTTCAGCATTGTCAGATCGTAAAGACATGTATTATTATACTTATACTTGTCAGTGTTATATCATCAACTTGTAGTAGATTAGTTGCTACACGATCGTTTGTCCACTTTAGTTGCTCCGGAGATAGCTCCTTTCGTACTCAGTGAGAAACCGGCGAATTGGGGAGAGACAGTTACCGCGACATGCACCATTTTGAAAGGAGATCAACCGATTCAGATCGAGTGGGCGCTCAACGGCCAGCCGATCTCTCACGATGTTTCTGATATAACAATTGTCACGAGCAAACGCGTCAGTCTCCTTACGATCGACGCTGTTACGGCTAGCCACGCCGGAGAGTACACTTGCGTAGCCACTAACGCTGCTGGTGGAACGAGCTATTCCGCTTCCTTAGCCGTCAATGGTACCATATTACGTTCTTCGAAGTTTCTATTAATTCTACAGTGCATGTATGAGTCTTCCACGTATGTAGCTTGACACTAATACTACTTACACACTCATTCCCAAGAGGTCCTCATGTTCCTTCGCGTTCTCAGGTTTAACAAAAGAGACAGGTTATGCTCATGATATCACAAAATAAAGAAAGAGATTTAAATATACATATAGATCCTATCTATATATTACAATTATATTAAGTTTAGATGTAATATGGTATTATATAAACATTTGGCAAGAAACCGTACTTAAAGTTTGACGAAAGTAGAATAGGGCTATAATTAAGACATATCCTTAGTTGCCCCTGAAATCATGCCATTTGTGATCGGCGAGGAACCGGCGAATTGGGGTGACACCATCACTGTAACTTGCACGGTGTTGAAGGGTGATCACCCGATCCAGATCGAGTGGGCACACAACGGCGAGCCAATTTCTCGAGATCATCCCGACATATCGATAGTTAATACCAGCAAACGCGTCAGCCTGCTTACAATCGATGCCGTGACGGCACGCCACGCCGGGGAATACACCTGCACGGCTAGCAACGTTGCTGGTGGAACGAGTTATTCCGCATCACTGGCCGTGAATGGTATAAAGGTCTCCCGTCTTGTGTTTCGCGTAGCTTTTCTCACTTCGTCCTATCGTGCATGTACAGAGCGATTCATCATTCCCATAATTTCCTTCAATTCCTTTCTTTCGGAATCTCAGAAAAAGATATTATCATACTAAAAGATCTCGTCGAATCGTTTAATTCCTCCTATTTTAGCGATACTAGGAACAATTCAGACGTGTTATTGAAAGGATTGATTCTACGAGCAAGATTGTGACGCTTCCAAGCTGCTATTTAATTATCATAAGTCCAATATTTGCTTTTTATTACCTTGGATAAAGTTAAATCTAACATGAAATTTATCTCTGATTTATTATAATATTATAATATTATAGTTGCGCCGCACATAGGGCCTTTCGCGATCAGTGACGGACCGGCAAATTGGGGTGACATGGTTTCGGCGACGTGTTCCATTATGAAAGGCGATTTTCCCGTAAAGATCGTTTGGACGTTTAACGGCAAACCGATTAGTTTGCACGATTCTGATATTACGATCACGAACATAAATAAACATATGAGTGCTCTCAGCATCGAATCCGTGGCCGCGAGGCATGCGGGCGAGTACACGTGTGTAGCTACGAACAGAGCCGGCAACGTCAGCCATTCGACCACCCTCGTCGTCAACGGTATCTACATATTTCCAGAAGCACACATGCACGTCAGCTAAACGTCGTACAGCACTTGCCTAATCCATCATTACGATTAGATCATCAAAACCTGCTTCATCGCATTGTCTTAATCTCATGATACGATACCCTTGCTCCTAATCGCCTTGATCGTTATGCTTGCCGACGACTGTCTCACGAGGATCGTAAAAAGACCGTAAGAATCGTAAGGGGATTTTACCGATACATGGATGTTATTTATCGATTCTCACGCGCGACTCGCGATCGCAGTTGCTCCGCAGATTTTCCCGTTCACGTTCGGCGACGAACCGATAAACTCGGGCGAGGCGATCTCTGCGACCTGTTCCATTCTCAAGGGGGACTTCCCGATGGACATTACCTGGGCATTCAACGGCGAGCCGATATCCGTCGAAAGTACAGATCAGTTCTCTATCACGAAGAACAAGCGCCTCAGCGTCCTGTCGATCGATGCTGTCGTGGCTAGACACGCCGGCGAGTACACTTGCA